ATTTAATCCAAATGATGACTTGCATGATTTAATTATGTGATTATTGTACTTATGATGCTTTTGTTTTATTTTTCTGTACAATGCAGGGATTTCTGTTTTCCGTTTTTATTTATAAACGAAATAAACTTCATTTGCACTTCACCATGGCGTCTCAACTTCTTCATTTTTGTTGGCTATAATTTAAACCGTGGACCACGCGTCCCACATATCCATCTATTTATCTGTATATCCCTCTTTCTATCTTTCCATCCATCTATCTATATATCTGTGTATCCAACTATTTATCTATCTATCCCTCTCTTTCAGTTCATTCCTTTATCTATCGTATTATTCATTTATCTTTCTATCTACATTTCTATCTGAGTTTGAGTTTGAGTTTGAAGCTTTATCATCCAAACAAAAAGCACATTAATATAACAATCAATTGTGAACGTTTAACATTGAAATGATAAATGGGACCAGAAAATAGCATTTAATGCTGATCGTGTCTGGTACCACTAACACACAAAAGTATCACAGCATTGAATGAGAATGTAATGAATAAGTATGAATAACTATTGAATACATACTTAAGCTACAAGCTATTCTACATCTTGGCTAAAATATGTCATGTGATTAAATACACAGCTTTGATATTTTACACTAAATAAAAAGATATAAAGAAGTATATACATGTAACATAATATTTACAAAAAGGCAAGAACCTCGGTTCAAAGTTAAACACGATTATTCTATTAACATTTGTGATATTAGAGTTCTACGAAAGCAAGACACTGACATCTCCCAGTCATTCACCATCCGTAGTCTGCAGCCTGCAGGCACGCACAGAGTTTTGATTTCAAACTTGACTAAAATTCATAAACTCAAGCCTTTAGCAAAGCCTAATTAGGCTAATTCTGTCAGTCTCTGACAATGCCATATATTACAGACCCTATGTAGTATGATGTCATCCTAGCCTCAATAAGGAGCTTCAACCACACAGCTCCTTGGTCTCATCGTGCAGACACTGTTACGCACAGCGACTGAGAAGAGTTTGTCCTAGCAAACTAACACATGGATGTGGCCCATTAAAAAAAAATACTAGCATACACGGGGCAACTTGTACCGGTATCATCAATTAGGGAATCTTTATCGAAGAAAATTTTATCAAATTTTCCCAAATTTAGTTAAGAGGCTTTTTGTTTCGAGGACCACTTATTTTGTGACGCAAGGTAGGAGTTCAAATTGTCGTGAATTAATAAAAATGTGTTTTAATTCGTATAACAAATATTCTTAGAACTTGAATTCTGTGTTTACCTAGTAATTGAAACTGATAAAAAGAGAGCAAAATTTATGTGTGTTTGTGTTAAATTTGACTTTTATTAGAGACTGCACAAAGCTTAGGCACAATACCATTTCTAAAACTATACACTGAGTTATTTTCCATATCAAGGAGCCCTGCCAATTGAAATCTTCCATGTCTCACAAAGATAAATACGCAAACAAAATGCATAACCATTTTCATAATATAATCACATTTAATGCATAAATCGTTGTTAAAGATAAAGTTGAGTTATGGTCATGCGATTGCATTGTTAAAGAAACGGTGTGGAACCGACCAGAAAAGGTTGATCATCTAGCATATAAGAATTTGTGTGTATTGCAAGGTTCTGGAATCATCAAAATGATAAGAAATTTGGCCAATTCTTGGTAAAGTTACAAACACTTGCACTGAAAGATGTATATGGGACTACACGAACATGTGGCGTAAAAAACCGGCCCCCGATTTTTACGATGTTACATGCATATTTAGAATATGAAGGCATTTGAAGAGCCATGCTTTTCAGGGAACATGTCTTAACTGATGTTCTTCCACGCTTGCATAATAAGAATGAGTAATGCTCACAAATTATTTTTCACCTCTTCCCAGAACTCAACCTTCTCTTTAAGACAGTGCGTAAGTCGTTACAAATTATTTCATTCACCTTTTACCTGCATACGTAAAGGTGGAACAAACATTTTGCACCCCGTACAAACTAGGGGTTCGGGGGGGGGGGGGGTTCGCGCGACCCCCCCCCCCTATTTCTTTCTTCACAATATTACATGTTCACTCACTATGCTCGCTCGCAAATGATTTTCAGGCCTTCCAGTACGCAAACGTACGCACATTATACACACAAATAATATTCAGAAGTCAGCATGACCTGGTGTAATCCTTGAGCTCAATAATGTATTTCAAAATACATGATATCGCACCACATTTGCAATATGGATTGTTCTTTGTTGTTGTTTTTTCTCTTAATGTTATATCATCAAAGACTTGGAGTAAATGAATTATCGGAAACCTTATTTATTCTCGGAGAGAGCAACATCTCATCTATTAAAAAACATCTTTTTAAACAGAGAGGGGTTCATCTGAGTAATCTATTTCTCGAGAGTGAGAGAACATGTTTGAGGCTAGACCAACATTCATTTATCTGATGCGACACTACGCGACTCTTGCTGAAAAACTGTTCAATAGGAAGAGCGCCACCTGTAGGCTTTTTTTTTCATTGACGACTCTTCAATGTTCTGCAACCAACTTACCCCTGCCCATGATTACTAATATAAAATCGTGAAAATGCGGAATTTCAACTTGTCGACAACCCTCTCTCTCCCTCCCCTAACTCTCTCTCTCCCTCTCTCTCTCCATACCCCCTTCCCTCTACATCTTTCTTCCTCTCCATCTGTTCCTACCAGCTAGTCACACGCTTCCCCCCCCCCCCCCTCTCTCTCTATTTACATATATATCGTATGTACAGCTCTCTTTAAAAATATGAACTGCCTGTTTAGAGCCAGAGGAAAAAAATTACTTAGTGGTAAATGCCCTTTTGGCTCCAAACAAGACAATAATTTTGTTGTCACTTAATGCCCCCCCATCTCTCCCCCCCCCCCCCTCTCTCTCACTATTTCCTTTCCTACCCTTTCTTCCTCTTCCTCCTCCTACCCTTTACTTCCTCTGCCTCTCCCCTCTCTCTCTGTCTCTTTCTCTCCTCTCCTCTCTCTCTCTCTCTCTCTCTCTCTCTCTCTCTCTCTCTCTCTTTCTCCCTCATATTTCATACTGATGCTTTCACAATCTTGCAAATTGCCAAAGCCTTAAATGTATAATTTGAAATGTGATATGTGAATGATACCAATCATGGGAGCAACTGAATCAGATTTAATTGTGCAAAATCTTGTTTGCTTCTTTATTGATATAATCGATCATTACCATGCAACATTTTAACCATGTTTTTATGCGAAAATCATTTGTATACACTACCATACCTTTTAATACTAAATTGGTCCAAAGACAAAACAAAATCTGCATTTTACCTACAAAGTATATTTTGTTTAATTCATTGTAGCATCTATTTGATTATATAATTCCCAGATTTGGGGTCGTGGTCGAGTGGTTACGTCGCCGGACTGTTGATCACAAGTCGGGGTTCGAGTCCCGCCGCGGCACTAATGTCCTTTGGCAAGACATTGATCTATATTTGCCACAATCAACCCAGGTGATGTAAATGGGTACCTTGAAATGCTAAAGCGCTGTAATTGCAGCACAGCTAAAACAGGGGTAATAATCTCCAAGTTCGGAATCGCGTAGAGACTTAATTGTAATTTGCGCTATACAAAAAATGAGTATTATTATTATTATAATTGGTTTCTGTTATTGTCTCTGTTTTTGTTATTGAGGAAGATACACTACCCATCTGGCTATACAATTTCCATCCGCAACATGTAATTCATTCGAAATTCAAACAAATTTATTTATATTCATATAATGTATAAGTTCAACATAATTTTATTACAAATATGGTTATAATATTCAGATTTCTGAATATGTACCAAGTTATGTGTCATAATGTACAAAGATGGCAACACGACAAATGCTCCGTCGGCGGTTGCTCTAGGCTTTATTTCATCAGGGATGTGAGGTTGGGGTTGCATTTGGTTTGGGGGCTGGGTTTGTGCTTGGTGTTGGTGTTAGGTGCGGTGTAGGTTTCTTGTCCGGGGTTGTGATCGGGAGTTTAATTAATGTATTGAATTGCCCCACGGAGTAGCCGGAGTAGGTGTCATAGAAGCACAAATATACGTTCTATGTACAAAACGAATTGAAATTTACTACCAAAATGTTATTACGCAAATGTATTACGTGAAATTTAACTTTTTCACTGATGTATACTTTGTTTTTGTTTTTTAAACTGCAATTCAGCTCTCAAGCCGCGAATGTTTTTTGAATGAATTAAAGCATTTTAAATAAACAATGACAATTCAATTTATGACACTTATGTACAGTCTGTTGGGTATTATACATTCAAAGTTTATATTTTGTACATCTGTTTGTTCATTACTTTAATATTTATTATTCATTCATGTTTTTCGTTATTGTTTCAGGTATTCATTGACTTTTATCTACTCAAACTTGCGGTAGGTACAACAATAAAAACGAGGGTTGCAACTTGTTTAATTGAAATAGTTCGATTCTTCTGCTTCGAATTATTTTTTAAGCAATAAAATGAAATATGAAATTTGGACATTAAATGATTGACCATAACTAATATTTTTGGAGAGATTACAGTTTTATAATGTATAACATTTGCTCCGGCTGTAATAAATGGACTTTGTTATAATTGCTAACATTAATTGAAGTTCTATATCATGTAACTTACCAAAACAGAAATCAAAATCTACTCTTTGAAAGAAATCACGCTCTGCATGCAATTCTTGTCATAATTATTATTTTAAAAAACATAGTTGAAATTATGTATGCGGTGTTTGAATACAAGTTTTAACATTGCAATATACACAATATGGTTCGGATAATGATAATGAAGGTTATGTCTATTACTGTTCTCAACCATTCAGGTAATTGATTAATAATTCAATAATTCAAATAACTTTATTTCTCATGCAAAACATAATACAAGAATAATAAAATCACAAAAACTATACAATGAAACTACAAATATAATGTAAAAAAAACACAAGAAAAGAGGAATTAACTTGAAGTAGAGCTTGTTAAAGTGTTTAGTTCCTCAAATGCTGTTTTACAATAAAATATGAACAAAGTATGTTTAGAAATACATGTATCATCAAATGTAAAATGCAATATAAATAAATCAACTAAATTTCCCGCTTACGACGCCTTACGTCCACTGCGGGATGCTTCATCAGGCCGACTATACCAACAGAGACCGGTCGGCCCGATGAAGCATCCATGAGCGAACCTGGAACGTCGCAAGCTATTAGTTTGTTGGTAGTAAACTTGGCTTGATGAAGGTTCTCTAGTTATTCCTTATAAGCTGAATGCTGTCTGGGGAACATCCATTATGATCTTTAGGAGGAAAAGGAGCATTATTTTCTCCGGGAATGGATCAATGAGAACGAGTTGAGAAATCAGATCTTCTTCTTCCAAGATGGTGGATTCCTCGTCGGGTTTTCCACCAGAAGATACCAGAGGGGCTATCTCAGATAAATCTTCAGGTAGGACTTGCATGTCATGACTGGACGATTGGTCAGCAGGTTGAATGCTACTTACATTGGTCATATCATCACCAGCGTGAATTTCTTCAGTGGACATGTCTTCAGAAGTCACTTCAGATGCATCCAAGTTCTGTCTACTGCTCTCCGGTGATTTGTCGGGATGTTGACTCCTACTTCCATCTGTCAAGTCATCCTGGGTTTTGGAAGCCATGTCTCCTGTATGCCCATCTCGAGGAGTGTGGTCGTTACTTGCTGTAGCTTCCTGAAGGACCTGGGTGTCAGTGTGTCCTTTGGTCTGGTCCTCTTTTAGAGAGGTCTCATCTCTAGCAGAGAGCTGCTCATCATTGACATCTTCTTTATCATATTCAGCATCGATCTGTTCTTCTACTACACCTAACCGGCAGTAAGAAAGAAAACAGGTAATTGGTTTATTTCTCAAAACACATCGAATTGATTTATTATGGTTGTGTAGAACTTATCGCAGTGAATTTCAAATTTCTTTTATTTTTATGTTCACCAGGTAGTAGATGAGAACTTGAAGTTAGTAGCAAGCATCTGTTAAGCTTTTTATTCGTGAGGAAAATGCTAACTGAAAGTTGTACCTAAGCTCTTTTTAAGTATCTTCTCTCTGCATTACGTCACCTTAGTATTTATATCAACAGTGTAAAAATCTGGAAAACGAATCTGCTTCAGAAAATTCCGTCAATCTGACTTTAATCACATTGGCCGTATTGTATACCGAATAGAACAGCATGTTGCTGAAGTGTTGAATGGGGTCCTCTATTAGAAAACTACAATTGTTCTTAATTAAAATATACGTTACCTTCGCTGAGATACAGGTCTACAAGGTTGACCAACTTGGCAGCTTGCAGTGCCTTCGTTAGCTCAATCCGTTCATCTTCCCTGGACACACCTTCTCTCCATTGTTTCAGCATATGACGTGTTCCATCACTTGTAACACGGTTGAACTTCACATTGGTCATGAGCGCTCTCTGTATATCACCATGTAGGATTCCCAGCTGACCAGCAAGGCTGTCGATCTTGGCTTCATCGTAAAGATCGTCAGCTATCTTTGTTAAGATGTCCGCAAACTCATCATCTGGGGGCTCCTCTCTAGAATGGTAAAAAAGACAAACACGTGGCGGTCAGAGAACGTAGTTATGATGGATCAACTTTAAAATTAACACGAATCTTTACTTAGGTGAAGAAAAAAAACGTCAAAATAAGTTCTTTCGGTAATGAGACTATAAAGGATTATGTTATATTATAACTCTAATCAAGAGTAACATCTTCTATTTATTTTATTACAGAACGTTTTTATTGTTAAAGTCAACCTAAAGCAGTTGACTGACACAAATAAACACAGGCACAGCGGAGCACCCCGATTTGCATATCATTAGCGGCCCGTTCTATTTGAATAACCAACGGACATCTGCGTGAATCCGAACATGTGTGTGCTAGAATGTCAAATCTTAAAATTCGCGTTGCGCCTTTATTACTGCCAATATCGCTATGAAACTTTCCATACTAACTAAAATTATTATGAATTTTATGTCAGTGAAATAAATACGAAATTCCATGGAATAAAACTCGAGATATTAATGTGTTTTGAGCTTCGCCCCTCGAAAAACACGACGTCTACTTTATAATGCGATGACCCTATCAAGCAATGCACGAAGTAGAGACTTGGTATGAATATTCATTAGGGTTAAATCCATACATGGGCGAAATTTTCGCTTCTCCGCTGTATTTTTTTTGGTTATAACGTTCTTTTTCATGGGGCTTCATTTTTAAAAGTTGTAGTCAGCGAACTCATTGAACATGACGTCATCGATCTCAGCGATGTACTGCGCATGCGTCTTAGGCCCAGTGCATGCCAGATCGAAACAGCTGAGCCATTAGCGTGCACGTGTGCAGTCGGCTGGCAAGACATGTATAGCCAACGCACACGCGAGGTTCAGACATGACACACATTTGAATGTATGGGACTGGTCTAACAATTTTGCGACAACGAAGGATTATTTTTGTTCGATGAGATTCGGACATTGGGGTATGTTTTTCTCTGAGACGACCCTATCAAGCAACTATGAAAAGAGATATTTCACAAGGATTGAGATTATTAAATTTTCTTTCTGTTCATACGAGGCAATTCTTTCTCGCTCTAAAAGAAATGGTGAATTTTACGGTGATTTTGTATCTCATTTTTTTCGTTTTTGTTCGTCAAAACTATCCCTTAAATTTCACATTTTCTGTGCATCAATAACTCTTTTTATACACACGAGTGTCTTGCAAATTTATTAAATACTCGATTTAGTAGCTTTGATTGGTGATATTCATCACATTAATGAAGAATTTGTCTTCGAAATTTGTTTACTTTTTTTCGCATCGATCGGTACACAATTGTTGATTTTATGCAAATGATGTTTACACGGACGAGAGTCGATCGCACGGTAATTGGGGTGCTCCGCTGTGCCTGAACAGCGAGCCCATTAAGAGACAATGCTCGACATGCTCGAATTATTACAGTTTATTTAATGCAGCTAAGATTTTCATTTCTTTGTTAATGAGTTTCAATCTTTTATTCACTTCTGCTTTTACATAATCACAGGTGGTCACGGAATTTCTAAACATGATTTTGAATTCATAGAACATAAGTGCTGCCGTACTTTTATCACTGTTACTGACCGTCTAGCACCACTTATTTTACTCAACCAAGTACATTCCGTAGTAGTGTTGCAGTCACTATAAGAGAAATAATGCGTTCATTGTCAATTTTTCATGTAAAGAGAAAAGATATTTCATCTTACCCTTCTTGGATTGTATCACTCCCCAGTCCTCCGGTTGAATTATCCTCAAATGATGATGTGCCTGTCATGAAGGAATGAAGTCAGTTTGAATGAGAAGGATTAAAACAAAAATTAATATACAAATTTGGAATGTTCTCTATCGTTCACTGTATCGGTATTCTAAGTAATTTCAAACTTTAAAAAGATAGCAAAAATGGGGAAGGGAGCTATAAAGACCATATTGGATTTGATTAGCTTCACATTATACATATTTAAAAAAAGTAGCAACAAATTGGCTTGGACGTATATAGTATAATGGGTTTTTTTCTTAAACTTTTAAAGGAAATTGAGATCGGAAAATAAAGTCTTACCACTCTGAGCTTGTTTTCCAGAAGCCCCCCAGCCCCAGGGAATGAAACTCCATTGATGTGTCTCTGCTTTCTTCTTCTGCTCTGCTGATCGTATCTCACTTTCTAGTTGAATTTTGGTTCTCAGCTTCCAGGCCTCACGCTTAAGTTGCTCCAAAAGCCCTTCCTTAAAGTCATGCTCCTTCTTCCAGCTTAATTCTATTGACCGATTTTCTTTATCTCCCTCTCTTGCTTTCTTTAATTCTTCAACTTGCTGTCTTAGAGTCGTCTCGTTTCGCTCTTTCTCCTCGAATTTCGTCATCATTTCTTCGTTGTCGGTCTCTAATCGGTCAACCTGACGTCTTGCCTTCTCTTCTATTCCCTGTAAATGTTCAGCCATTGTTTCGATACGCAGATCCTTTGATTGTAGTTTCTTTTCATATTCCATCTCCCTATGCTTGTACGTCTCCATCATCTGTTTCGCTCTTTTCTCGTTTTCCATCACTGCCCTTTCACTATGTTCATGCCTTTCTCGTTCAACCTTCATGGTGCCTTGTAGTCTTTCTTTTTCACTGACTATGCTTGCGCGACTTGCACGGGACTCGTTGAGTTCCTGCTCTAAGTCTGTAATCCTACCTCGGAGTAACTTCTTTGCTTCTTCTTCTTCTCTAATGTCTTCTCTGTGTCTCTTCTGGGCTTCTGTGACATCCTTTCTCCCTTGTTTCAATAACCACTCAAAGCGGGGAAAAGAATAAAGTTGTATTAAATCAGCAGATATCCATTCGTCACCTTGTTTCAGGCATCCATGGAGGAGGAGAAGCGACTGCAACGGTTTCTCATCAAAGCGATTGCCACCAAGGGGAGGTACGTCATAGATGTCAGTGATTCCGAGCTTTTTTAGTTGTTTTTTTGCCTTCTCCATGTCTTCACTTTGCCAGGTAGTTTCCATGGCACATATAGGGACGTGACCTATCCAAACGAAAACAAATCAGTTCAATCGAAAGTAGTCATTTAATCGTCTCATGACTTCTATGTACCACACATTTGTCACCTAATCCCTTTTTTAGAAGGGGGGGGGGGTATTTTTACACCAGAGTAAGGATCCAATCTGTTCATTTTTCATTCACATCTGTGCTTTAAAATATTGCCATTAAACGTGATGTATGTGCATAGAGTATACCACCATTTCCAAGGGTTGTAAATAGAACTGGCGAGCGAGAGAAGGATCGACGAAGACAGAGGGGGGAAAGAGAAAAGTGATAAAGAAAAAAAACTGCAGAAGAACCGGAAAAGGGAGTAAACATAGCCGTAGTCAGGAGATAAAGTTGTAATCACATGGGCCTATTATATAATAATACAGGCCTACACAAAAAGAGGAAAGAGTCAGCATGCATGCACAAGGAAAGAAAAGGTATTTAATTTACAAATTGAACCGACGAAGGGCGTGTTAGAGTCCACGATATCATCATGATCGAAATTGATGAGGTGCAATTAAGGGCTTGAATACATAATGGATAATATAAAAAAAATATGATAAGTACTTGATTTTAGGTTCATATTGCATGAATTATGGTTGTTTCCTCGATTGTTTTATGTCCTAGTCATAACTGTTGAAAAACCATTCGTCCATTTTTGTAATAAATACGGTGGTTTATATCACTGCATTGTGTGTATCAACAGTGCAATTGTTTATTAATTTACAATTGTTTAAAGATACTCGTCCTACCTATAGTGTAAAGGATTATGGGCAAATGGGTATAAAAACGTGTTGAAGATCTTTAAAGTTGTATTCGTGATATACAGAAATGGATGAATGATTGCTATCTCAAACTAAATGACGATAAAACAGAATTTCTCTTTTTAGGCTCCAGACAACAACTTTCCAAGATTGTTATAACTCATATAGGTGTTGGTTCTGTGCACATTGCTCCTTCAGATAAGGCAAGAAATGTTGGTGTCATTTTCGATACAAGCATGTCTCTTGATGCAAATGTTTCAACATGTGTGAAAGCTGCCTATTATCATCTTCGTAATCTTCGTGCTATAAGGAAATTTTTAACCCCCAAACCACTCAACAATTGATTCATGCTTTTGTAACATCTCATCTCGATAACTGTAACTCTCTCCGTTATGGACTTCCTAAATACCTAATTCACAAACTACGAAGGGTTCAAAACGCAGCTGCCCGCCTTGTCACTAAATCTAAACGTTCGACCCATACTACTCAAATACTCAAGAACCTTCACTGGCTTCCAATAGA